AAAAACTTTAATAAAAATAAAATTAAAATTTTTTGTCAATTTAATATATTTTTAATATATGAAAATGTTTTTTCAGATAGCTTATACTTCCTCCGGTCCTATTTATGAGCTTCAAATTTGAAAAGTGTGTGGCCTATTTTATAAGATTTAATTTAGCTTTGTCTTGACATTTAATACATTTTTTAATGTTACCATTAATTACTTTTCTCTTATTATATTTTTCCACACATTCTCTTTTTTTAAAAAAAATTTATTATAAGGATATATTTAAAAATAAAAATTTATTTCTGACTTATGTATTATTTTTAATTAATTTTAAGTAATTATTTAATTATTTAAAGTTTATAATAAGTTCCGGACAAAGGGTGAAGGATCGGATTGTTACAGGGATGTGCAAGTCGTGCCTTCAAGCCTTCCAAATTCATTGCATCTCAGTGTTTTATGTTTGACCTGCGTCACGTTAAAGGCACTCATTTATTAAACAATTAGTGCGAGTCACATTTTACATCTCGTTCTCACTAAAAGATTAAGTAATACTACCTCTAATGTTTAATGTAAAAGCTGCATATTTAGAAATTCATAAATATTAAAAAAAATTAGTTAAACTAGTTATTTTTAATAAATATGTGTTATCTTTTTTAAAATATTTTTATTAGTCACGTGCATTAGAATAAAAGCATTTAAACATATACAATAATCATGAAACTACTTTAAAAAATAATAAATACAAAAGACAAAGTAAATTAAAATAGTATATTTAGTACCAAATTAAATTTCCAATTAATTTTTAATTATATGTAGAATTGGAGGTAGTACTTCCCTCCTTTCCAAAAAAAAAAAATACAAGTGAATCCAATACTATGATATTATTTTTTAGATGTATTTAACATATTAATCTTATTTATGATACATAAAACAACCTTATTTTTTTAACATATTTAACATTCTAATCCTATTTATAGTTTATTTAGTATTTTAAAAATTAAGATACTAGATGTAATTGAAAAAATAATAACTTCTCTATTTTTATTTAATTATCCTCGTAGTGAACAAAGACAATAAAATCTGTGTGCTCCTTTCTCTCCTTTCTCAAAGGGGCACATATGTCACAAGATTTTTAGGATAAGATGAATGTTTTTTTTTTTAACCTTTTATTGTAAGTTATATTTTGTACTTGTTTAAAAACTTAATTCACTGTGTTTTATTTTTACTCAAATTGATTATTCTCTTGCATGTTTTTTTTTAATTGATTCTATCATCTATTTTACGATTCATTCTCTTCATCACGGATCCCCTTCAATAAGAATTCACTTGATAAAAAATTACTTTTATATTTTGCACTGGCAAGCAAGGATTATATTTTTTTAGTGTTATCCTCCATTTATGCCTCCATATAAAAAAGCATTAAAAAAAAGATAATTGTGTCTTAAAATTTTAAACAGAATATATATATTTAAAAATAAATAAAAAATTAAATAAATGATAATGGGAAAATTAAAAAAACCTGAAATTAGCATCTCCCAATTTAAACACTTAAGAGTTAAAAATGACAGAGGAAAAAATAGTGCTTGATATGGTATTTTGCAATATAGTTAAATGACTAAAATGTCATTGTACTATATTTGAAAAAAAAAACTATCAAACTACTAGTACATTTCTTATCATTCATTGTTTAATATTTATTATTGTCAGTTTACAACTTGTTACTCCTCCGTCCTTAATATAAGACCCTTTAATTAATTTGTTTAGATTAAGGAAGTTAGGTAAGTTAGTTAATTATAAGAAATGTGATTCATTTTTCCTAAAACACCATAATCATCTTTCTTAATACCCCCTCTCCATCTTCTACTTAATTATGGTTGGGGGAGTATCCATATGGGTAATTAGAGAAATTGATAAATATGAGAAATGGGTCTTATATTTAGACCAAAACCAACTCAACAATTGGGTTATATATTAAGGACCGGAGTAGTAATAAATAACTTGTGATTGTCAATACATTTCTTATGACTTGCTATTTAATATTTTTCATTATCAGTTCAGAATTTATTAATAAACTTTTTGATATAAAAGTATTTTAGTTATTTAATTATATTTGTAAAATATCATATTAGACGCCACTTTTTTTCCTGTTATTTTCAGCTTTTAGATACACAATTTAAAATACTACCTCCTGTCCTTAATATAATATCTTATTTGACTTTTATTTTAGTTCTAAAAATAAGACGCTAATCTACTTTGTCTCTCATAATGGTCTATTTTTTTCTAAGGTAATCTTTCTAATAATGATAATCCTAACCAATATATATTGGTTAGCAATGATATTTTAGAAAAGATAACATATATTTATTACAAATAATTAACTTAATTTATTTTTTTAATATTATCAAATTAATCAACTAATTATTATAATTATGATCGGAGGTAATATTGCATTTTCAGCATTCATTGTTTGTCATTTCCCCATAAATAAATAAGGAGTAATTATTATTTTTTTAATTAAAGGAAAAAAAATTCAGCCGCAAGAAGAGAAGCAAGAAAAGATAATGATGACGAAGGAGCATGGGGGGCTGCAGTCTGCGACCAAACGATCGTCTGTCCGCCACACAACAGCTTACCCTTTATCTCTTTTTGATGCGGCTGCTTTCCTGTTTCTCTCATTTCATATTTTTTTCACATTATAAATGATTGATTTTGTATCTATAAAGTATAAAAATAAATTATATTAAAGAATTATTATATCATACTTCTTTTTGAAACATTACGGAAAGAAAAAGCTCTTAGTGTTGGCCTATTTTAGGATAAGTTATTGCAGTATCTGAGAAAAAATATAAAAGGAAGAGGAATTATTTCATTCAACTATATGCACTACGTTATTAATAGAATATGACGATTAATTAATCATACGCCCTTTAAACTTCATCTATTTGATTGATAAATTTTTACTTTAAATCACATATAACACTAAATTTTTATAAGAGCTAGTTGATTAATTTGAGTAGATTAAGAAAATTAGTTAATTTAGTTATTTATAATAAATAAGTGTTGTCTTTTTTAAAATATCCTCATTAGTTAAGTATATTGATTAGAAGTACCATGATTACAAAAATTATATAAAAAATAGATAAATATGAGAGTCAAAATGGATTGAAATCTTATAGTTATGACCAAAATAAAACTTAAACGAGCTTTTATATTAAAAACTTAAGGTAATTTTTTTAAAATTTGAATGCACTAAAAAACCCAACAAAACAATTAATACATGCTAGGAAAATTGTTCTTTTACCAAATTAGGAAAAATGATACTTTGGGATTTTATAAGAAAAATAATGATAATTAAGGAATGTTTTCATTTGAATGCTCATGATTTCTAGTTAGGCTTTTGTTATTCTTGATTTAATTTGTTGTCATTTCTATCAACCATCTTATCTTATAATTCATTAATATAGATGGTACGGTCTTATAATTAGTCTTTTATGGTCCCCTGTTACTACTCATATCATTATACTCTTCCGGTTCTAAATATAAGACTCTTATACACTGTAAGGATCTTATATTTAAAACCGGAAAAATAGTATGCATGGTAATTTATTAATAATTTTAGTCGACAATAAAAACTTGTGTTGTTGGTTTGATTAGAAAATTAATATACTCTCTCCCCACCATAATATATAAACTAGTTAAAGGTTAAATTTGCTCCCAACTATAAAGTTTTAATTTACTTTGTTTTTTATATTTATAAGTTTTTTTAAAATTAATTTGATTAACTTATAAACTCATATATAATCTAATGTTATGAAATAATTAATTGATTTATTTAGTTTCCTTAATGAGTTTACTCAGATTAATTAAGCAACTGTTATCTTAAGCGAAGTGATAATGGTATATTTGATAATTTTAACGATTTGTAACACAATGAGTGGTTTTATCATAAAAGTAGTGTGATTGATGAGTATAAATTTTACAATGTATGATAGGAATATAAATAAGTACTTGTCTAAAATATTTCACTTTTTCTACATATATTCTTTAAATTATACTATTCTGGTCTTTAATTTAAAACCTAATTGTAAAATTGATGTTGATTTTATGTAAGGTATATTTTACATGTTTATAATTTTTTTCTCTTCAAATTAACTATATTGATATTTCCTCAATAACAATCAAGTTAAAAAAGAAGGGAGTGAATTAATGAATATGATATTTTAGAAAAAAACATATTATATTAACTAATGAGCAAACATTTTTAACCTATCTATATTAGTTAATTAGATTTTATATCAAGAGAGGAATGTAATTTTAATCGAAACTGGTCCGCCCAAGGTCCAGCCTTTCACCGAACCAAGTATCTCTCATTGCATAGTCGGTTATGAGAACGCTGCCGCAACACTGCCGCAGTGCCGTTAAAGAAATACGTATGCTTCCATCATCGCAGAGACTGGGGACTGTGCTATTATTGTCATAGACGAGACATCGGATATAGAGTGTAGTGGGTTGGAAGAGCTCCGAAATGTCTAGTCACTACTCACTAACAAAACTCTTATGACATACTTCGAATGTACTAATTTTTTTCAAAAAATTAATCCAATCACTTTTAATAATTTTGGGGACAAAAAGCATGTGACTTCACGCTCTAGCTCTTGTTCTTATATACAAGGATAACCGCGAGCCAAAAGGATTGACCTTAAATTAGTGCAAATTTTTTTATTGTTCATATGTGTCTCTATCATTATTATTATCTTGTGAAGGACTAGTACATCTTTATTGACTAGTTCAAATTTTGTCCCAGTAGGAATTCATTGCACTAAAGTTCATTTGGGAGCAGGGAGCAGCCATCCGCTTCCAATACCCCGCTGGACAATATTGTCTACATAAGTCAGCAGCAAGACAAACAAAACAAACTTGTCCACCGCCAACTCCAAGTCACGGAGGTCGAAAGGTAATTTCGCATTTCAATTATATTTTCGTTTTTGTGATGGTGTACCATACTCTATATGCAGTGCAGGTTGGTCAAAACGATAATAATCCTACTTTGAACGAAGCAGAGTGGCCTCTGGAGCAGCAGCCCCATCAAGTAGAGGGATGGATCTGTCAAACATGAAAAGTCGAAAACATTGAACACGGCACAAAGCTAAAAACTGCTTCCCGAGGAAAACCGAAATGTTAGAGAACGATTCGTTAGGGAGAATCATCACAAAATCGTACATTTAACCTTCCTGGTTCAGTTCCTCGGACGCCCAGATAGAGAAAGACACTGGCTTGGAGGTGAGGTCGACCACAACAAACACTGGGGGACCCCAGCCAGCCTCCTTCTATACGGTTCGAATCTGCTGAACCGTACCAATCTCAGAGAGACCGTTTTAGAGGCATACAGAGGTACGAAAGCATAAACTTCCGTTTTTTAACCCCTTCGAAAAGATTACTCAAGTGTTTATCGGAGAGTTTTCGGCCTGCTGGGTTTGCTGATAACCGACCTGCAAGGACGGTTTTGCTCAGTTTGATTTTGGATCTTGGAATTTACTTTTAGTGTTTTGTGTCGGAAGTGGGTTTCGCGTCTTAGTCATAATTAGGTGAATGTGACACCGGATTCGACGGGATTTTATATGTGGTTAGGGTTTTCATGTGCCGCAAGAAAAAACCCATGTGGTTGATGTCCTTAATTTATGCGGTGAGGTTTGATAGAGAGAAAGAGGTTTGGGTGTTAGATTGTGTTTATTAGATTTTGGGGTTGGACTGTAGAGAGATCTGAATCTAGGAAACGAATTTAGAACTTTCAGTGTTCTTTTCTTCTTCTGGAAGGGTATTGAAGCTTGGTTTCGTAGCGTGTTGTCATTTTCCAACTCAAAGAAGCATCGAGAAAATAGAGAGAGAAGAAAGGTGTTATCTTGTTACTTGTCGTAGGCTTCATTTGATCGGTGGCGGTCAAAAATGGCGAATCGGTGGTGGGCTGGGAACGTGGCAATGAGACCTAAAGATCCCTTGTTGTCATCTCCATCACTTCAGCTGAGAAACCCAGAAGATGACCATGGTGGGTTGAGTCGACTCGGGCCAAGACGAGAGCAAGACTTTCTGGAGAACACCAATAACAACACTACTCCAACCAATAGCAGCAATAGCAACACAAACGCCAACACAAACACAACTTCCCAGAGCCTGAACATCGACGAAGACGAGAGCCGACACAACGGTCGCGAAGCAGATGATCAAAACCCTGGCAGCCATGACACCGCCGAGCCGGGAAGCAGCGGCCGACGTCCACGAGGCCGCCCGCCTGGGTCGAAGAACAAGCCGAAGGCACCCGTGGTCGTAACAAAGGAGAGTCCTAATGCCTTCCGGAGCCACGTGTTGGAAATCTCCAGCGGCAGCGATGTTGCTGAGAGCCTCTCCACCTTCGCGAACCGGAGGCACCGTGGTGTGTCAGTCCTCAGCGGAAGTGGCATTGTGACCAACGTCACACTCCGGCATCCGGCGGCGCCAGGTGGGGTTATCACACTAAATGGAAGGTTCGAGATTCTGTCTTTATCCGGCGCATTTTTGCCTGCCCCCTCGCCTCCTGGGGCGACCGGGCTAACTGTGTATCTCTCCGGCGGCCAAGGGCAGGTTGTTGGTGGAAATGTGGTGGGTGCATTGGTCGCATCAGGTCCTGTATTGGTGATAGCAGCCACCTTCGCTAATGCCACTTATGAGAGGTTGCCACTTGAGGATGAACCATCTGGGGAAGATGTTGAAGCCAAAACAACACAGCACCATTCAGGTGTACATTCAGGAACTTCTGGGCCTTCATCAGCATCTCAGACTTTGAATGAACAAGTCTCAATGCCTATGTTCACTAACTTGCCCCCAAATTTGCTTCCAAATAATGATCAAATGCCACATGATGTGTTCTGGGGGCCTCCTGCTCGCCAACCTCCTTACTGATGAGAGAGACGAGTTAAAAAAGAAAATGGTACGTACTGATGACTTATAATGCATTATGTTCAAACGGTTTCTTGTAAAAGCACAGTATAGTAGCTAGCAAAGTTAGGAATTTTGTGGTCATTTTGCTTTGTTGTTTCTGAAAATCTTGGGAGATGTTGTTTTCCTGTTATATTTCGGACTCTTCTGTACCAGTTGTTTCTTTCGTTCGCTTCCTTCTAATCTGCTCTTTTTCTTCTTCTCACTAGAGCTTCATTAATTTATGATTGTGTTGCAAGTGTTAAAAATGTCCGGTAATGAGGATTGAATCTACATAAATATATGCAGTCATTTATAGTAAGCACAATTATTCAGCAAGTTTATGATGAATCTGCGGTGTCTGAGAGGTCATATATATATATATATATATTTATATGATGGGCATGAATGGTAGCTATTCTGTGTGCTTCTTTCTTCAGAAACCTTGTGCGCTTATCTTAGGGTATTAGTGTAATGTAAGGAGCCAACGCGAGCTAGTGCACCAAATTGTGGACGTGTACATTGCACCAAACAAGCGAAGTGATTTTAGGCGGATTAGATGAATTACTCGAGAATTTGTGCAAGTTTTTATTCATTTGGTGCTATTCTGGCTATGTATAAATATAGCATGTCGTGTCGTGCCAAATTTGGTCTCTATAGTGGTCTAGTGGATGCCTTGTGTATTGCTAAATGATTTTGACCTTTAGTTTGCATTGTATCGTGCTGAAGCTTGAACGTTGAAACCATTATAGCCGCCACATCTTATCAGTTTCCTAGTGCAAGAGCAATAGGTTCTGATAATGGGCACACTACACAGTCTTGGCCATTTGGGGTCCTATTTCTTCTACTAGGCATAGGCGAAATTCGATTTTGCTACTAGCTAGGTTTTCCAATGAACACGTGGAAACAAGTTCGTTCTTTTATGAAAACATACAATATGCTGCTGTTGATACGTGAGTGTTTGTTTGGAATCATTTATACAAGCATTTAATGAGCACTTTTTATGTAAATGAAAACAAAACTATCATCGGATACTTCCGTAAATGATGTTTGATAAGTTGTTTTTCAAGACTCTTAATGGTAATTCCAAACGAGTCTGATCTTTCTTGGTCACTAGAGTGATTAAATACGATTCATTCGACTCGAGGTTTTCTCCTTTTACTTTGTTAGCTTCTTCGTTTTGCTCAACACAAATTCGTGTCCCTTCCCATGATTCTATCGTTCTTCAGTCGAAGCTTTGTCTCCACTGGGAAAATTGGATACGAAGCAATTCGTGCAAAGAGCTTTTCTGTGTTGTGAGCTGAAGATTAATAGAGGTGTCCATTTGTATGCCGGTGTCTATCGCACGATAACATCCCTTTTATTTATTTGTCAACGGATCTTGGTCTGTTCTGTTTGGATTACATTTTTTTTCATTTAAATCAAATTATTATATACAAACACAAATACCCATGCCATTGACAGAGTTGGATATGTATACCTTGTCTGTTTACGAAGGAAATGGAAGGGGGTGGGGGAAAGATTTCAATGAACTCAAATTTAAAAAAAAAAAAAAATAGTGTCACAAGATTCTCATTAATTTTTATTAAAATTTCAAAACCTAATTTCTTAATTTTTTAAATCAAGCTTACTAAAATTTATTTTCTTCTCCCTTATTTTCCATTTCCCTTGTATTAATCATGGGCTACTTTTCCTCCATTTTTGCTTATACTAAACATAGGCTAAGGTTCGATTGGTAGAGTTCTTCATACTTTTTTGAGTGGTCACCTCTTCTCAATGAGTATATTTTCTGAGAAGTCATGCTTGAGGATTGAAGAAGATTTTGTATATGTGAGTGTTTTTGCTTAACGTTTTTGTTTTAAAAAAATTTCAATCAAGTTAAAGAATATTTTTTAATTAAATATATTTTATGTTAAATATATAAATAACTAATCATCAATCAAGAGTCAAAATACTTGCTAATGGCATGTTTGGAAAAATAATAATGAAAAATCAGAGAAATAGTATTTAACTATTTTAGGTTTATTCGGTAAGTTACATTTTTATTAATAAAGATTGGTGAAAATCCAATTGCAAATAGTCTCACGTTCTAAATGTAAGGTGGATTAGAGAATTTTGGTCTTGCTAAATATAAGGTGCATTAAGGTCTAAATCTAATTACTAAATCATAAGAATGTCTCTTTAAAAAGGTATCATAATTTTTTTATATATTAAATACAAATTAACTATTTTTTTTTTACAAAAATTAACTTTTTTTCTTTTAAATTTCATGCGTATTTGGTTCCGAGAGGGAGTAGAACCTCGACGGATTATGACAGTATGATGAGGTTGGGACCGACTTGTACTTGGGTTTTGGCACGTCGCTGTCTTCTTGTTGACCGAATGACTGGATAGTAAACAATAAGGGTTGATTTCTAAAGACATTTGTTTATTTATTTTTATACTGACTTCTGTTTACTTGCAAGTATTATCCATAATCATCTACTATTAATTAACACTGTTCATGAAAACAAAATATATGCTGATATTTTCTTTTCTATCATTTTAAATTTAATTTAACCATCAAAATGTTTTCAGTCTAAGTTGGCGTGATTGGTCATGACAATATATTTTTTGCACGATACTTATGAGTTACTACTTCTGGCGGGGCCGCCGAGTTAAATGAGCTGGTCCGGTACGGTCGAAAATTTAAAATGTCTCATTTTGTCAGGTCCACAATTAAGACACGTTTGTGTTTGTGATAGCTTATAAGTAATTTTTTAATTGTGATTTACGAAGTACAAAGTAAATATGTGAGAAAAATTTTGTTTCGGTTTATGTGAAATGTGTTTATAAGTATTTTAATCGTGCTGGCAAACATGATTGTAAGATGATGGGGTCAAAGCCTAGCCTGTTAAAAAAAACAATTTTTTTGATATTTTTCACATTTTTATCAATAAAATAAAAATAAAGTAATGAAATTACTAATAAAAGGTATAAATATGAAAAAAAATTCACTCATAAACACAAAACATTATCATATATAAACATCCATCATCTAAGAACATCTAAAACATCCATCAACAAGACAATAATATCCAAAAGTTTTATCAACAATATAAATGTACAATAGACAAACACTATTATCAATTTTTTGAAATTTTGTTATTACTATAATCAATCGCTTGTTTTTATGAATATGTTCTTTTTTAGTAGCAAAAATATCTCTTTCTTCTTCATAAAAATTTTATATTTAAATTTTACAGTCTAGCTATTGTTTTATTTTAGTTTGACATGTATTATTGTTAAAACTTATAAATTTCTAATTCAAATTATAGAAGCACAAGTTATATGAGTATAAAAATACTCTCTTATTAAATATATATATGTAATTTAAAAGTACCAATACATATAATATAAATCAAATCATTATTAAAGTCTAAATCAACCCATTTTTTTTCAAAAAATTAATTAAATGAATTATTGTCCAAAACCAAATAAATCAAACCATTTTATGAAATTTAATTTCAAAATGATAATAATAACTGAATATTTAAAATATCATTAATAATGTAAAAAATAATATTAGCATTATATAAATTTTTTTTAAGAATTATAAAAGAGCATAAACAGGATGGTCTGTTTAAACTCTAGGCCCTTCAAGACCAGCCCTTTCAAGCTTGTTTCTCATTTGAAGGAGAAACTTTTAACCCCAGCTTTCACAATTTTTGAATATAAACTGGTCAGCCCAATAAGTTCGACTTGTTTTCCCGACTCTATGAAATACCACTTCCTATTCTAAATATAAACTTCACTCTGTAGTGCAAATTTAAGAGTAGAGGTAGTATACGTACTAGGAACAAGAGGCAGTGTGTGCATATATAGGGAGAATTATCAAAAGGTTTCAAGAAAGAAATATAATTATCAAAAAATCTCAATAAACCTATGGTAATTTATAGTTTAGAACTTGTCATTGCTTAATTTTCATTTGTCAATGGACTTTAAAGTAATTAAATTCCTTCTTCGGGACCGAATTATAATTCTCCCTTATATATTGTTGCCTTAGTAGTTTTTTTTTAATTAAAAAACTGTATGAGTAGGAATTTGATATTCTCTTTCTTGATATTTTTCTCTCATTTCCTATTACTGAAGATAGCTTGACATGGAGATATCAATTTGGGAGAATTACAATCAAGTCTTATAAGAAAAAAAATTACAAAATAAGTCATGAAGGTTGTCATTCTCTACATTATAAGCTGCTCAGATTGTTATTGAGACTTTTTAGTAATTATTTCTTTTTTGTTGGAATTGATTGTAATTCTCCCTATCAATTTCGAGTACCAATTTAATTTTTTAATTCATACTTTGTAAATAAAAATTACTCTTAAAAAAACTTATGGTTAGAAAATAATATTTATTTTAAATTTTATGCACATCAAAATATTAAACTTTTAAAAAATAAAAATATATATTAAATTTGGACTGCTCAATTTTGAGGTGGACAGTTCAAAATTTTATATTCTTCACAGGAATGAAAGGCACGCAAACTAAATTCATGCATATATGTTAACCCATTTGATTATTGTTAATTGTCAACAAGTATACTATTAATCATATAAATAAATTGATTTATCTATAAAATTTTATGCAATATACACAATAAGTTAGATGCAGGTCAGTTCAGAATGTTGTGAATTTGTGATGGGAATGAAAATGGAATCCCCGGCCATAGTATCTTGAACACGAAAATATAAAAAATCGATACTTTAAAACTATTGAAAGTAAAAGGAGGAAAATGTAATTACACCTTAATGATCATCTTAAGTAAGATACAATGACGAGGATAGAATAACTACTCCCTCCGTTATGAATCAAATGCAAGAAACAATTTAGGAAGAATCTTTAATATCGAGTGTTTTAAAAAATAAACTACGATATTTAATATAAAAATTAGTTTAACTTTTATTTTAGTTTTAAATATAACTCAAATTCATTTTGTCTTTTAAATTTATTTATTTTTTTCAAACCAACCCTTATAGTAATGGTTGTTTAAGCTAATATATCTAATTAGTAAAAATATTTTAAGAAAGACAACACTAATTTATAATATTTTTAATATACTTGAATTAGTCAATAAACTCTTATATTAAGGACCGAAGGTAACACTAATTAAGAGTCTTGCAACTCAATGACAGAAAACATTTTTTAGAGTATTTTTAAGCGTAATTTATGCGTTCGAATTCTTCATAGAGAGCATAATGCGTGAGTTATAAAAAAGAAATAATTAAGAAAAATAATGGACCGTGGGCTGGAAAAAAAAAGTACGAGAAATAATGGGGAGTT